GGTACATACGATCTTTGCCCAAGTGCCACAAACATACCACAAGTAACATATTTGCAGACGTACCTTCTGCCTGCAATGCGTACCACCTGCTTCAAGTTATCTCACACAGACACAAAAACAGAGCTAGCCACACACACACACACACACACACACACACACATACACACACACACAGACGCGCACAAGCACACATGCGCACAAGCACACACGCGCACAAGCACACACGCGCACAAGCACACACGCGCACATGCACATAACTGAGTGCGCACTCGACAAGTATATGCTAGGCGAATGGACATCACTGACACTGAAAGCGCACAAATGACAGGACAACTTCTCTAGGCGTGGCACTGCAAAAAGGAAAGGATGTACATGGTCACCAAGGTTGTGACTGTGTCAGACGTCAGAACATCTCTCTACGCCGCCTCCTCTTCGCTACAATCCGCAGAATCATCCCCCATCCTCATCTCACTATCCCTCTCCCTTGCATAATCACTACCGGAAGAATCATCACCGCTCTCTGGATCATCTTCTAGGACACGAGTCTCTCTTCGCTGCCCACCTGAAACCAACGACTGCGCCCTCGTGTGTACACCCACTGCTGGTGAACCCCCTGCCGTGGTCCCATCCACCACAACTCCCTCACCGGTGTCCTCTACACCCAACTGCCTCATCGCCCAAGAATCTCGTCCTGAGGCAGGTGGCCGACCTCTCCCTCAGCCTGTGCCTGGTGGCCGTCCTCGTCCTCTCTCGGTGGCACGGCCCCCTCGACGTGCCAACTGACTGAGAGACGATATGAGAGGCGTGCTCTGCCTCCGTAAACTGGTGCGCCACCTGCTCCACAACGACCTGTTGTGGCAACTGCTCCACCCTATGCTCGTCCCTCTCATGCCGCGGAACCTAAGGATGCTGAGGCACCCTCCTCTCCATCTCTGCCTGCGTGTGTGTATCGACCCCGTGCTCTATGTGGGGCTGGGACGTAGGTGTCGCTGTGGCGACATAAGAGGGGTCAGCAACACTAGTATCTGTTGCTGTGGGACTCATCGAAACAGGAACCTCCTGCATCCATGTCGGATCCTGCATCGCCTCGTCCTCCTCTGTCTGCATATCACGAGCCAGCAACTCCTCCATATCAACCTCGCCGCCAACCCTCTTGCGCATGGACACCACGGTATGCATGGTGCCACCAACGTAGGCGTCGAAGTCGTCGTGCGGATCGTGTCCACCCCACTCGTCCAACAAGTCGTGCTGGTCCTCTAGAAGAATCATCCCAGCACCCCTCTGTGCCTCTGCCTCGTTCCTGATCCCCTGGTGCATCCACACGAGGTCATAAAAAATGTCGTCCTCCGAGTCCACTGACAGTGCCTTGCCCTTCCCAGCTCGATTGCCACCCTCCTTCCTCCTGGTACTCCTCTCAATCGCCTCGGCCTCCTCCTCTGGCACATCTGCAGGGATGGCGTCGTCCTCGTCCAAAGCGACCTCCCCCTCCTCAACCTGGTCCGCCCAGATGTCCATGTATCTGTTGTCCGTCCGCTTGCTCGCGCTGAGGAGCTGCAAGTTCCAATGGATAAACACGAGCTTCTCAACGCCACGTGCGGGCAGGCGGTTCCTCAATTTCGTGTGAACGAAATCGTGGGTGGCCCAGTTCCTCTCACAAGGACTGGTCGTGGACCACATGCCCATCACTGTCGTGCACTGCTCTGCAAAATGGGATGCTGAGCACCGTGAAGCCCCCACCATGTCGAGGGATGCATCTTGTTCACGTCGGTGGTGGCGAACGAGTCCCACCAGTGTTGAGCAGCCGTTGGCCAATATCGCGGGTCGTCGCTGTGGAAAGTCCACAGGGCCTCCCACAGATCGTCCATGGCCTTCGTGTCCCACCCTCCGACAACGAGAGCAAAGTGCTCTAGCGCCGACTGCACAACAGGCCTCCTGCGGTCCTCAAGCAATGAAATATCGCGCCGCAGTGGATCCAATAGGTAAGCGGCTGCATGAGCAGGCTGCCGCATCATCTCGCACTGATCCCTCACGATGGTCATCACCGCGTCCTTGTCAAAGTCTGACAACTCTAGTGAACAAAGTCTCTGCCGGAGGATGGCCTCCAAATCCCACCGGTCAGTGGGTGATGAGCCGTCCCTGTCAACATCCCTGAGGAGCGCGTAAACGTGACCCATGACGTCCATCACCGTCCTCACGCCACTCCAAAAGTCGTCATCCCTGCAGAGCCTGCGGACATGAGGCTTCCACTCTCAAGCATCCCCGGCCCACCTCACCCTAGCTTACCTCTCCGACGACACCAATGTGTCCAAGACCTCCCTCTGATCGTACAGCCTCTCCAGCATCATGTATGATGTGCCGAAACGCGTATCCGCTAGTAGCTTGAGCACCATCGCCTTCTTCATTACTTTGTGAAGTATAAGTGCTTTTTGTTTGTTGCGCATAAACTTCACAATCTTGTGCGCGTCTTTCATCGTCTGTCGCTCGATAGGCTGTGCGGCAATGTCCCTCAGCAGCAAACTCAGGCACTGTGTTGCGCACGGGATCCAGGGAATGCGACGCATAGCAGGATCTGGGTGTGTCTGTAACATGTGCGCCGTGGTTTTCATGACCTCGGTTTTGTCCGTGCATATCGCATTGCCAATGTCATGTCGAATCACGTCCTCCCAGATCTCTGCTAAGCTAACGCCGGTCTTGTCGCGATGCAACATGTCAATCACCCGGATGAGAATGGGTTTGGAATCCCCTGCTGCGATGAAGTTTATAATGGGCTTATTTGTTGTGTCAGAAGCCCCGTCCATCATCAACGTGCAGCCGGAAGTAGTCCACTTTGCCTTGTTAGGGGCAATGAGGGCTGCGACCTCATGGAAGATAATATCCAGCATCGTCGTCCGGACCCCCTCATACGAGAGGAGTTGTGGAACTGGTACTATCGTGGGACGAAATAGAGTGCATATGCAATCCCACAACTGCTGCATCTCGGCCAAACGCAGCCAGTTGAACGCCACTCCCCCACGATCGATAACGAGGGACCACAACTGATTAAGATCCATCTGGATCTTGTTCCCTATATAAGGATCCAGAGTCGACTGTCGCCTACCCACTACGGATGTGGACGCGGGTGCTGCACTAACACTACAGCCGCCTGCCTCAATACCGCCAGTCACACCTCCTACACCTCCTGGTACACGGGGTGGCGCGTCCTCAAAACCCGCAGGCTGAGTGCCGCCTCGTGACCTGCCGCCACGCTGACGATCTGCATCCAAATCGTCAGCCTGGTTGATTGTCCCCCCACCTATATCGCCACCATCCGCCCCTCCAGTAAGCGATGCATCCGCCCCTCCAACACGCGAGGGTGTCCCGGGCCTCGTATGCTCCTCCTCTCCACCCCCCTCCGCCTCCATGTAATGACGGAGGTCGTCCGCAGCCATAACACCCCCCACCCTCTCCGCGTACTCCGAAGCTAGGCGTCGCAAGATGGCATCTCTAAGGACTACCCCCGCCCGATGCAACTCGTACAAAATCTCTCCAGTCCAGTGTGGGCAGTACGTCTTCTGCTTCCTGAAATGCTCAACTCCACGAGATTTAGATCCTATGAAAACTTTCCAGCACAGGCGGCAACGGATAAGGAAGTTGCCCCCGCCTACCTTTCCCCACTCCTGGCCCCTCTCGACCCACTCCCACACCACATGACCGCGCCTCAATTCATCCTGCTTGTGCTGCAGTACAGGCACAAATGGTGGTAGCGGGTTCCCTCTACGTCGTGTACTGGCGGATGCCATAGCTCCAAAAAGGTGACGGTGGTGCGGTAAAAGCACGACTACTGTCTGCAGCTATGCACTACTAGCGACGCACGCCTGTTTGATTGATTGATTGATTGATTGATTGATTGATTGATTGATTGATTGATTGATTGATTGATCGATCGATTGATTGATTGATTGATTGATTGATTGATTGATTGATTGATTGATTGATTGATTGATTGATTGATTGATCGATCGATTGATTGGTTGAATGATTGATTGATTGATTGATTGATTGATTGATTGATTGATTGATTGATTGATTGATTGATTGATTGCGAGCGAGGGTGGGCGGATGCGGGCGGAGGCGGGAGGAGGTGCGGGCGGAGGCGGGGAGAGGTGCGGGCGGATGCGGCCCATGCGGAAGGAGGGGGGAGGAGGTGCGGAGGCGGGGAGAGGTGCGGGCAGAGGCGGGA